GTATTTGTAACCTAGTACAGCTCAGAAACACCGTGGCCGTGAGATGGGCTATACCCAAGGTAAAGTCTGCTTAAATGGATTTAAATGATGTCACTTCCCTAACTACAAGATTTTTTTCCCTCTTGCCAGAATTTCAAATACTATTATGAAGAAGAATCCGAAGTATTTCAAGGAACATGCCTACGTTCTGATGCAGTGTAAACACCGGGGGGGGGGGTTTGGTAAGTTATTTTTCAAGCAACTAAAAACTACCTACGGAGGATTAGTAAGTTTATTCAACACTTAACCATCTACTCGTTAATTTCAAGAAGGCTATTTTAAAGCTTAGAGGCCATTTCTTTCTCTAAAGCCATGATTTCACACAAACAACACACTCTACTTCTGATGGTAACACAGTACAGGGCAGCTTTGGAGAGGTTTTTTTTTACTTTCCAATAAAAATCATGCAGCAAATGAGCAGTTTCCCCTGCGAGAACTGCTTGTCTGTGCAGAATTCTTAGTTATAAGTAATGCTGATAGATGTATTTCCCAAACCCTTAGATTAATTTAATTACCCTGAAAAGATAATACAGAGAGATTAATTCAGTAATTTACAGGCTAGATTTTGTATGTCTGCTTGGATGACAGACACACAGAGAAAAGATTAATTAAGAAATCAAGTTTTAGCTGCCAGTGTAGATACCACCTGCCAAGGTTCTATAAATTAACATGCGAGGAGATGCCTATGTCAGATCAGTTGGAAAAGTCACCAACCATAACAACCCTGTGCGTCTTGGCCGTCGTTAAGTTAATACAGTTAATTGGCTTTTCAAGCTTTGTGAACGGAATATTTATGATTTACATACAGCTTATCTGTGGAAATCCAGAATTTTATTCCGGATGGGTGAGGTAGTCGATGTAACCATCCTCATGGAGATGTCACACTTCTCCAAAGTTGGTGTGTCCGGTCTCCTTGGCGTGTTCTCTGGCTTCCACTTGTCCTGTTAGTCCCTTCTGGCACACCATGCACCTCAGAGTGAAGCGATTCACATCGGTAAACTGCCTCTTCCTTCTGGCTTCATCTGCCAACTCCAACGCTTGGGCAAGAACAATATCATCAGTGGTGGAGAAAATGGTCTGGGGAGGAATGTCCGAGTCGGGGATTTTCCGCTCGAGTGGATCATAATGAATCCCATCATAAATTAAAAGGACTCGCTTAGTGTAACCAGCATCCTCCCCAAAACGGTCAATCCTGACTGTCTGTGTGTCCACCACGCAGATCTCACACTGGTAAAATTTGGATAAAATGGACACTTCGATGGCTCCTCCCCAAGTCTCTTCTCTCCTGATCCAGTCACAATACTCCCTGTTGGTTTTCCCTAGAACTGCCTCACAGTAAGATTCAGGATCACTTGCTACTATCTGAGCTATGAGGCTGCGCATCTCTGGAGGGCAACCCGGGTCGTAAACGCCTCCCTCCACCACGTAGTAGACACTGGTGAAGAGACAGGAGTTATCTGCTGGAACAACCCTCCTCGCCAGCACAGGCACGGCCTCCCTAACCGAGTTAGACATCGTTCTTTTTGTGACTAGGGGCGAGTCAGGCTTGGGCTTGGACGTGTCCTCTTCCACGATGAGAGTGTCACCTGCCAAACAGAGGAGGAGGGAGAATTGAGAGAAATACACAGGGGGGGAGTTAAAGATGCTGCTGCTGCTAAGACAGAACAACACGGCTGAGTTGTTGTTATTAAGGATCCCGGTTGTTTTTGCCGGTACCCGGGTATCCTGATGGAAAACAGCTCGGCCGAAGAGCCGGCAGCACCGCAGCAAGCGTACGGCGGGCTCCGGTGAACTCCCCTGCCGTGTCCCGGTCCCTGTCC